TCCCATCCCATCAATCATCACCAGAACTTCAATAAATGTAAGTGTCATGTAACTGTGCATGTCTTCTTCAGTTTGTGTGTATTAAAATTAATATTTCATGTGGTAAAAATTTTTTTTTGTTCATACTTTGGGGTGTCAGGAATGGATTAATTTGATTTCCATTATTTCTTATGGGGAAAATGATAACGATAATTTCGCCTAACATTGAGCTCTCAGGAACGGATTAATAGCGTTAGGTGAGGGTCCACTGTACTCCCAGTGACTCAAATTTAATATCCAGTTTAATTGGCATAAAATATGCTTAAAAAGTAACAAGAAAGAGTTTTTTGGTTGCTTAGTGATGTTGAAGTGTTTGGAGATGGCTGTAGATGGCTGAGAGAGATATGTTTATGTCTTATCACAGTGATGTCTTTCATACAGTTGAATAAATGATATACTAACATCATTCACTGCAATTTTATTGTTTATAATAGTGACAAGGGAGAATTTTAACATGAAGTACCCTCAAATTCCTTGTTCTATTGCATGCTGATACAGAAATGTTTGGAGATGGTTATATAAGTATGGAGCTGGAGAAGCTGAGCGCTGCTTGTTCATGTTTTCTCAGTGACAACTTTCGTACATTTAACAGAAGGATGTAATTACACCTTTCTCTGTACAATCTTATTTATAATAGTGACAAGGAAGAATGTTATCAAACCTTAGAGTCCTCATTCTCTTGAAAGTTGATGGAAGATTTGTTGCAATTTTTAACCAGGGGATGATTAGCCACCCAGGACAACCCAAGAAAGTCAGTGCATCATCAAGGACTGTTTGTCTTCTTTTAATTGGTATCCTTTAATTGTGTCCCCCCAGGATGCGACCCACAGCAGTCGACTAACACCCAGGTGCCTACTTACTGCTAGGTGAACAGGGACAGTAGGTGTAAGGAAACATGACCAATGTTCACACTGTACCAGGGATTGAACCACGGACACTCAGTGTGTGAAGCGAGAGCACTGCCACCTGAGCTCAGTGAGCAGTAGACTCCTCTGGGTCAGCTGACACCATCAAATATTTCATTACAATTTTATCTTTTATAATAGTGACAGGGAAGTATTTTATCATACCTTAAACTCCTTATTATACTGCTTGTTAATAAAGAAGTGTTTAGAGATGGTTATATGAGCAGTGAGCAGTAGATGAGTATGAGCCTTTTGTTTGTTCATTACTCAATACGCCATATAACACATGATCAGCGAACCCAACACACATTTCACTGTACAGTGGAACCTTGGTATACGAGCAGCTTCCTACTCAAACAAAGCTCAGCACTCAACCAAACAAATACGGCCTGCCAGAACTTCACTGTAAACTATTTTGTGTTCCTTCATACTTTTAGGCATTTTTTTTTATTATTTATATAAATAAGTCACCATGGGGCCTATGAAGATTAGTGATAACAGCCAACTAAACAGAAAATTGGTTGGGAAGAACTTGTTCGATACTCAAATGGAGCGGTACTCGAACAGCCTTCTGGAATTAATTAAGGTTGCATGCCGAGGTTCCACTGTATACAATGGTCCCCTGCCTTACAAACGCATCGTGTTACATTAAATCCGCCATACGAAGCATTTGAATGCAAAAATTTTGCCTCGCCTCACATGATTCATCCGGGATGCGTCCCACACATGGCCTCAGCTGCCCCGTGCGTGCCAGTGTTTACAAGCCAGCCAGTGTGGTCGCATCTAAGCATAGATTCTGTACATTTCATATTATCACAGTATTTTTAATGCTTGTAGCTGCAAAATAAGTCACCATGGGCCCCAAGAAAGCTTCTAGTGCCAACCTTGTGGTAAAAAGGGTGAAAATTACTATAGAAATGAAGAAAGAGATAATTGTTAAGTACGAAAGTGGAGTGCGTGTCTCGGAGCTGGCCAGGTCGTATACCAGACCTCAATCAACCATCAATACTATCTTGGCCAACAAAACGGCAATCAAGGAAGCTGTTCTTGCAAAAGGTGCAACTTTGTTTTCGAAACAGAGATCACAAGTGATAGAAGATGTTGAGAGACTGTTACTGGTGTGGATAAACGAAAAACAGATACCAGGAGATAGCATCTCTCAAGCGATCATATGTGAAAAGGCTAGGAAGTTGCATGACGATTTAATTAGAAAAATGCCTGCAACTAGTGGTGATGTGAGTGAATTTAAGGCCAGCAAAGGTTGGTTTGAGAGATTTAAGAATCCTAGTGGCATACATAGTGTGATAAGGCATGGTGAGGCTGCCAGTTCAGACCAAAAATCAGCTGAAAAATATGTGAAGGAATTCAAGGAGTACATAGACAGTGAAGAACTGAAACCTAAACAAGTGTTTAATTATGAACAAAACATACCTGTTTTGGAAGAAATTCCCAAGCAGGACCTACACTGCTCAAGAGGAAAAGGCACTCCCAGGACATAAGCCTATGAAAGACAGGCTTACTCTTTTGATGTGTGCTAATGCTAGTGGTGATTGCAAAGTGAAGCCTTTATTGGTGTATCACTCTGAAACTCCCAGAGCATTCAGGCAAAACAATGTCCTCAAGGCTAATTTGTGTGTGCTGTGGAGGGCAAACAGTAAGGCATGGGTCACTAGGGACTTTTTCTATGACTGGTTACACCATGCATTTGCCCCCAATGTGAAAAATTACCTAATAGAAAAGAAATTGGACCTTAAGTGCCTCCTGGTATTAGACAATGCTCCTGGTCATTCTTCAGACTTGGCAGAGCGACTTTCTGGGGACACGAGCTTCATTAAGGTCAAGTTTTTGCCTCCTAATACCACTCCTCTCCTGCAGCCCATGGACCAGCAGGTCATTTCAAACTTCAAAAAACTCTACACAAATGCTATGTTTCAAAAGTGCTTTAAAGTGACCTCAGACACTCGATTGACTCTAAGAGAGTTTTGGAAAGATCACTTTAGTATCCTCAGTTGTGTAAACCTTATAGGTAAGGCTTGGGAGAGTGTGACTAAGAGGACCTTGAACTCTGCTTGGAAGAAACTGTGGCCACAATGTGTAGAAGAAAGGGATTTTGCAGGGTTTGAGGCTAACCCTGAAAAGCGTATGCCAGTTGTGGAATCCATTGTGGCACTGGGGAAGTCCTTGGGGTTGGAGGTTAGTGGAGAGGATGTGGAAGAGTTGGTGGAGGAGGACAATGAAGAACTAACCACTGATGAGCTGCAAGATCATCTTCAACAGCAAGAGGCCAGACCTGAGGAAACTGCTTCAGAGGAGGGGAGAGAGAAACTGAGGAAGTTACCTACTTCAAAGATTAAGGAAATATGTGCAAAGTATGTTGAACTGCAAACCTTTGTGGATGAAAATCACCCTGACACAGCTACTGCAAGCCGTGTTGGCAACCTGTACAATGACAATGTTATGGCCCATTTTAGGAAAGTCTTAAAGGAACGGGAGGTACAGAGCTCTATGGACAGATTTGTTGGGCGACAGAGGCCCAGTGACTCTCAAGCTGGTCCTAGTGGCATTAAAAGAAGGGAAGTAACCCCGGAAAAGGACATGCTACCTAAAGTCCTAATGGAAGGGGATTCCCCTTCTAAACAATAACAACTTCCACACTCTCCCCTCCTCCCATCCCATCAATCATCACCAGATCTTCAATAAAGGTAAGTGTCATGTATTCTATTCTTAGAAGAATAGCAATTGTGCATGTCTTCTTCAGTTTGTGTGTATTAAAATTAATATTTCATGTGGTAAAAATTTTTTTTTTCATACTTTGGGGTGTCTTGCGCGGATTAATTTGATTTCTATTACGTATTTCTTATGGGGAAAATTAATTCGCCTTACGATAATTTCAGCTTACGATGAGCTCTCAGGAACGGATTAATATCATAAGGCGGGGGTCCACTGTATTACTATACCTTAAATTCCATGCTCTCTCCTACGAAACTTTTATGGCCTTTAAACCCAGCCAAAACCTCAGTCTACTTTTTAATATATCCCCAACTGCAACAGTCACTATAAATGATGTAAATGTTTTTCTTATTCCTATTTAAACAAACTTTATTTCTATAAAGTGGAGAACAGTGTACATACTGTACTATACAATTAGGGTGACTGACATATATAACTACTTCATAGAAAGCCCTTCAATATGCAAAGCATTTTGGGCAGCCTTAAAACTAAATTATGATTTCAAGTATATGAGAATAATACACAGCTTTCAAAATAGTGGAAGTATGTATTTAGTAATTCAATAAAAAGTATAATTAGTGATATATTGTATAGTCTTCTGAAACTGTGTACGTAGGAAATCCTAGTATCAGGAAACTGTAATAAGTTTGGAACAAATAAGGCATCTTTCTGCCAGTTGCACATGCTGCTTTCTGGGAGAACAACTGGTGGTTGCAAGACATGTACTACTGAGGCAGTGTTAACTGTGTTGAACTGCATGGGTCTGCCTCCTCTTAGTTTTCCCAGGTGTCAGGGGGTGTCAGTAGAGCTAATACTGTACTTAAAATGGTGGCATGTGGCATACTTGAAAGCATAAAAATTGTGTGTACTAGTGCATAGGCTGGTTTCCTGTGTACTAGTGAACTGTGCACAGATAAAGGGTTAACAGTACTTCTGAAGGACAATTGAATCTGAATTTGATGTGACAAAAGTGGCTTCATCTGCAAACTAACTTGGTGAAAGTTTCTTGGGGGCATTAGGTTGGTCATACAATAAATGAAAAATAAGAGGTCTAGGATGCTGCCCTATGGCACTCCTATGCTGATAGATGAAGTCAAAGAAGTATTGTCTTTAATGGTCACATGTTGGTATCTGTCATTAAAGTAAGCCTTTATGTGAGAACATGGCAGCATGATGTCTACAGTGCTAAAGTTGTTTTTTTTTTTTTTTAGATCAGTAAAGAGGCACATTTGATATTCATTATTTTCTAGAGATGAATAAAATGAATGAAGCATTTCTATTAATGCATCATTTGTACATGCTAAAAACTGCAATACTGTCACCAACCTGTGTTGAATCACAGTACACCAGAAGAGCTTCACCATGCTTGTGGATCCATGGCAAACATTGTTGTGGGTGTGACACAGCTGCTATCTGAACAGAAGCTGTGTAATATTTATTCTCCAGCTCCCAGTGCCAGCACTGGATTCCACTGGTACTTAAAGTAGGCTCTGGAACACATTCCACCTCCAGAATACCTAAGAGAAAACCATCATAACAATGCTGAATGCATATATGTACATAATAAAATGTATTTCATGACTCTATTATCAGTAATTTCTTGAGCAACATTAACTTACAGTAATGTAATGATGGCTGTTTATCATCAGTAAATATTTCATGAGAAAAATTTCAATTACAGAGGGCCCTAATGATTATACTACAGTGGACCCCGGATTTCGTCTGGTGCGGAAATCGTACAATTCGGATTTCGACCATTTTTTTTTGGGCGAAATTTTATCCCAGGTTTCATACATCCACTCGAATATCGCCCATTATCCATACCAGATTTGTCTGCCTGGGCTGCTCATACGTTCGTGACTCACTCTTGGGCACATCAAATGTCTTATTTTACATTAATAGAGACATTTTCATTAATCCATCTATGATATTTTCTTCAAAATTATATAAGAAACACGTTACATAGCATGTAAATATGCAATGTTTATATGCTATTGAGGGGTGCTGGTCAGTGGAGGGATAACATTATCTTTTCTCTGGTCAAGCATTAGAGAAAACTGTATGAATCTGCATCTGGCCCAGTCACCGCCCTTAATACATACATAACGCTTGTGTTTACAATTCTCGGCATGAATTATTCATTGCTTCTCCCTTTGTTTATGAAGGCATCTAAAGGCAGTTGTTAGAAACAATTAAACTCAGTGAAGATGGTATGTCGATGGTAATAATATGGCTCTGGGCCAGGGTTAGGATGTGGAAGAGTTGGTGGAGAAATATCACCCTAACAAAGCTGTTGCAAGCGATGTCTGCATGGTCCAGTGACTCTCAAGCTGATCCTAGTGCCAGTAAAAGACAAAGAAGGGAAGTAACCCCAGATAGGGCTTTGATACCTGAAGTCCTTATGGAGGGTGTTGCGAATAAGAAATTTTTTAAAGAACTTCAGAATGTGGCCTGTTACCATTTATTTCTTATGCAACAAGATTTTTGGATCCGAGTTCTTTAAAGGTCTTTTAGAGTCTAGGGGAAATAATTTCAACTGGGAAACTCCATAAAATAATACTCAAATTTATTAAAGTATTTAAATACAATACTTTATCTTCTCTTTGTAGTTAATTTAACTTAATACTTTGTACAATAAATTTACCATATACATTTAGTTCAAAATCATGAAAATGTCACATTAATAAGGAAGTTTAATTATCCTTCCTGTATCTAAGTCCTCATTAATATTTACATCTCTTTCTTAACAAGACTGTAAACTCAAAATACAAAAGGTACAAGATTTAACAAGACCTTTGAATCTGGCCGTAAGTATCTCTATGGATTACTGAACTGACCAAGAATATAAATATCAAAAGAGTCTTTCAAAGTAATGAGGAACAAACTGAGTCAGCTCTATAGTCCAATTCTCAAAACCATTCAACTGTACACCGTAAGAGCCAATATACGATCAGTTGTCAGGGCTAGAGCAGGGAGCAGACTGACTACTTGCCAGTCTGTTGACATGTCATCAGGTTGGATCAGCTGAGCCACGTCAGCCAGCCGGACATAAACAACTGAACAATTCACCGGATGGTTCCGAGACTTAAACTCTATATACACCAGAAATCCTACCTAACGTAATAGTAAAATAATAGTGATAATTGCAAAATAGTGATAATAACAATAATAGTGATAATAACGATAATAGTGATAATACCATGGTATTTTTCATATATTAACAGATAATAATATAACACCCAAAGTCTCTATTTTAGCTATAAACGGGGACTTTCGCGCTATAATATTAAGTGATGAACATATGCTCTTACAATATTTAAATAACACAGGATGACCAATTTCAAAGATATAACACCCCCCCATACGACAATAGGTTGCAGTAGGGAGTTTGCAAGCGTCCTTGGTAATATCTCCTTTATAGTAAGCGTCCTCTTGGTAAATAAGGCAAGTAGTACGACGGAAGAATGGAGAAGCAAGAACTCGAACAGCATGGTTATTTGCCAGAGGATGAGCTTTTGGAACAATGGCCAGAAGAACTATCTGGAGTGGCTTCCATCACAATTCAAGAACAGGAGTCTCGAACATGACTGTCAGGGTCATCCATGTGTACTTAATACTTCGTCCCATCAACGAAACGGTTTTCATAGTCATACTGTCAATATAAAAGAAAATCATTAACAAAAATATATAATATATATACAAATTAGGCTCTGAGAGTACTCATTACTTTACTTTACATTTTAAGGTATACATTTTTTTTTTTTCAGGGGCGAGAAAGAGCATCAGCAATTATGTTAAGGGACCCACTTAAGTGTTGAATACTAATCAGATAAGGTTGGATCCTCAGAGCCCACCTGAGGATTCGGGTGTTCTTTGATTTCATAGAATATAAATTAAAGGGTTGTGATCAGAAAATACCATAATTTTATGGGGGGAGGTTCCCAGATAAATGTCAAAATGTTCCAAAGATATTACTAGGGCAAGAGCTTCTTTCTCTACAGTGGCGTAATTCTTTTGGTGACGTTTCAACTTTGAAGAAAAATAAGATACAGGATGCAAAATATCAGTAGAGGGGGATTTCTGAAGTAACACCGCCCCCACAGCATAACCGCTGGCATCGATGTGTAAATAGAAGGGTTGATTAAAGTCAGGCCTTTTCAATACGGGTGACGAAGAAAGCAACCGCTTCAACTGATTAAAAGCTATCTCACAATCTTTCGTCCAGCAAAACTTCATCTTCTTACTGGTTAACTCAGTAAGAGGAGATGCAACCTGAGAAAAATTAGGACAGAAACGTCGATAATAACCAGTCATTCCAAGGAACCTCTGTATAGACTTTCTATCTTGAGGGATAGGAAACTCGGCAATGGCTCTAACTTTTACATCAACAGGACGTACCTCACCCTGACCTATACAAAAACCGAGGTATTTAATCTTGGCTTGTCCAAACTGACACTTGGCTAAATTTATGGTGAAGTTGTACTTTTCTAACTTCTTAAATAAGGTTTCCAGGCGAATTAAATGTTGCTCCCACTCATTGCTATATATAACAAGATCATCTAGATATGCATCCACTCCTTCTAAATCATTGGTCAGCAGGTTCATCAGGCGCTGAAAGGTAGAGGCCGCGTTACACAACCCGAAGGGCATAACACAATAATTGAATAATCCTCCTTGTATAGTAAATGCGGATATTTCTTGGGCTCGCTGGGTAAGCGGTACTTGGTAATAGCCCCTTAATAAATCCAGGCGGGTGACATAGGCGGCTCCTGATACTCTATTAGATCATCAATACGGGGTAGTGGGAAACCATCTGGTACCGTGAGAGCTTTAACCTTACGATAATCAGTGCACATTCTAGAAGTTCCATCAGGCTTGGGAACTAATATACAGGGCGAGGCCCACGGACTTTTACTCCGTTCTATGAGTCCATGGGACAACAAAAATTCTACTTCTTTGTTTAATGTTTCTTGTTTGTTTGCCCTATAAGGTGACCGTTTGCAAGGCTTTGCTCCTTGTACATCTATGTCGTGAATTCCCAATGTACAACACCTAGGGACGTCATCGAATAAGACCTCATAACGTAATATCAAGTCTTTGATATCTTTGGCTTTCTTCAAATCAAGGTCCATAAGAAAGGTATCAAGAGATTGCAATGTCTCTGAATTTTTTAAACGTACTTCTATCACTTTAGAGCTGCTGGGCAGACTTACATTTTCAGTTTCAGCTAAAGGAAGAACTGTCGTAACTGGTACGATACTAGGGTGGTAAGCCTTAAGTTGGTTTATGTGATAAGTACGTTTTGCTTTTCTCTTTCCTGGAGTTTGTAGTACATAATTTACCTCATTGAGCCGCTCAATCACTTCCAAAGGACCTTCGTATCTAGGTTGCAGAGCATGTCCAGGTAAGAATTTCTGTGCCATCACATTGTCACCTGGTTTGAAGAAACGAGAGCGTGTGTGTTTGTCATAACAATGCTTCATCTTGGATTGGGCCTTAGCTAAGTTTTCTGAGGCTAATTCCCTCAGTTGTGACAAACGCTTTTGCATTAGAGTTGGAGTTGTTTTAAGCGAGGGTTCGGATTTTCCGGTCCATGAATCTTTTAGTACGGCGAGGGGGCCGCGTACTTGGTGTCCGTAAATTAATTCAAATGGACTGAACCCAGTGCTTTCTTGTTCGCTTTCCCTTAATGCGAACAAGAGGAATGGTATTCCTTCATCCCAATCTCTGGAAAACTGCTCGCAGTACGCTCTCATCATTGATTTTAATGTTTGATGAAATCGTTCGAGGGCTCCTTGCGACTGAGGGTGATAAGCAACAGAAAATACGGACTTAATTCCGAGGCGAGATAAGGCATCGCGAAACATCTTAGAGGTAAAATTTGAACCTTGATCGGATTGAATTATTCGGGGAATCCCCACCTGTGAGAAAATTTTTTGCAAAGCTCGAACAATGATGCGAGAATTAATTTTTCTCAAAGGGTTAGCCTCTGGATATCGAGTAACGACATCCATAATTGTAAACAGATATTGATTCCCTTGTTTAGTCTTGGGTAACGGACCAACACAATCTATTATCAGGCGTGAGAAGGGCTCACCACTGACAGGAATCGGAATGAGGGGAGCTGGTGGAGGTGTGTGCAAAGGTTTGCCGGTCACTTGACAGACTTGACAACCTTTTAGATAAGTTTCCACAGTCTCCTTCATTCTGGGCCAATGAAAATGCTTGGCTATTTTGCCCAGCGTTTTCTTTACTCCCAAATGTCCTCCCATGGGACTATGGTGGGCGAAACTAATGGCCAATTCTCTAAAGGTGCTAGGTAGCACTACTAGATGTTTGCTGGTAGCCAGATGATCGTCGGAAGACAAAAGAGACTTTTCCTTTCTCATTAATATACCATTAGCAAGATAGTAACAATTGTCCAGGTCTTGGGCGTCGTCTTCTGTAATAGCTATCTCTCGTAATTTCTCTAGGGATGGATCAAGGAACTGATCCCTTATTAAATCTTCTTTCGATAGCATTTTAATATCAAAATCTTGAAAAGGGCCGATCATAGAATATTTCAGATTTGAAGATCCAGGTTTTAAGGATCGGCTGAACAATAAATCGAGACCTAAATCTTCGCCTTCACTTAGGACTTCAGTTGATAAAGGATTTTGAGGTGCTCTAGACATTGCTCTAGTTATAACATTGAGAGGAAATAAGGTAGGAGACTCTTTTCGAGCTTCTATGGCATAGTTAATGTCAGTAGAATTATCAATAACTAGAGGCTCTCGGCTTATACCTGGATAGTCTAGATCATTGCCGATGAGTAAGTCAACGCCTTGAATAGGAAAAGTTTCATTGGATATACCTACAGACACAAAGCCAGTATAGGTTGGTGTTTGGATGTATATCCTGTGAAGAGGCACTCTTATAATGGCGCCTCCATAGGCTTCTAATAAGACATCTAGCTTTGTGTGAGTCATATCATTACGGGAAGTATGTCCTGCTTCAACAATGTTAAATAACTTCCAGTATCACGGAAGGAATTAATTTCAAGTAATTGAGTCTCGTCTATTCCAACTTTCACTTTAGCAAAGTAGGGACTCATAGCTGAGTGAATATCTTTTTCTGAAACAGTTCTAGCATTGAGTCATCTATAATGACTACTGATTCATTCTGGTGAACCTTGGTCGGTACTAGGGTTCAGTTTCTTTTTAGTTGTCGATGAAAATATTACCTGAGTTGGGAAACGAAGTCGCTCGTTCCTGGTATCCCTCTCTAGCCAATAACAGTGTTTCCTTAAATGCCCTTTCTTATTACAATAAGTGCAGTTCAACTCACTGTTATGCCTTACTGGTTTTGAACTTTTCCTAGAGTTAGATCTAAATTTATTATTAATGGGCGTGGAGGCATCATAGGAGGTCGGGCAAGGATTCTGTATGCGACGCATCTCTGTAAGATTGGATCGTCCTTTCTTAGGGGCATATTTAGTCACTGTTTCCTTACTTTTTGTTTCGCTAATCTGTGATTCAATTTCAAGATCAACTCTTTCAAATTGTTCTTCTAATACGTCGAATCTCGACTGGTAGCTTACTTGAGAAACTAAACTTTCAGAGTCAGAATCTCCTGCTACATGATGGTTAGAGGCCCCTGGAAACAATTTGTTTCTAATTATTGCCCTTACGGTATTGGCTGTGTAATATCTATCGTATGGCACTCCCAATTTACGAGCTATCTGCCAGCATGTTTGAAGTTTCAAGGAGTCCAGCTTTGACAATGTTAAATCTTCAAATAACTCTTTAATGTGATCTTCCATGATCAATATTTTGAAATTAACTAAAGATAAATTCCCAGTATATAACTTTAATATTGTTCTTTTGATCAATGTCTTAGAACAACAGAGCTCCCGGACTGCTACCCCATTTGTTGCGAATAAGAAATTTTTTAAAGAACTTCAGAACAATTAACCATCTCAGACCACTAATTACCCAACAAAAGGCTGCAGTTAGAATGATAACAAATTCTCACTACAGGCAGCACACTCCACCAATATTCAAAACACTCAACCTACTCACCATGCAAAACATCCATACTTATTACTGCACCTATAACATACATAGAACACTTAACTCTGATATTAACCCTCCCCTCAAACATCTCCTTGCCAACCTCAACAGAACACATGACCATAACACAAGGCACAGATCACTCTTTGATGTTCCTCATGTCCATCTCACGCTATGCACATAAAAGGCCCTAAAATCTGGAATTCATTACCTGTTTACCTGGAGAGAGTTCCGGGGGTCAACGCCCCCGCGGCCCGGTCTGTGACCAGGCCTCCTGGTGGATCAGAGCCTGATCAACCAGGCTGTTACTGCTGGCTGCACGCAAACCAACGTACGAGCCACAGCCCGGCTGATCAGGAACTGACTTTAGGTGCTTGTCCAGTGCCAGCTTGAAGATTGCCAGGGGTCTGTTGGTAATCCCCCTTATGTGTGCTGGGAGGCAGTTGAACAGTCTCGGGCCCCTGACACTTATTGTATGGTCTCTTAACGTGCTAGTGACACCCCTGCTTTTCATTGGGGGGATGGTGCATCGTCTGCCAAGTCTTTTGCTTTCGTAGTGAGTGATTTTCGTGTGCAAGTTCGGTACTAGTCCCTCTAGGAT